ATACTATTTGATCTAGGAGTAAAGCATTGACACATCTTTACATTGCGGGAAAGGAGGAATCCAGGACAGGTTAGAGGCTTCATGCCTAAATCTCCTCCTCAAATCTTTCTCCTAATGTAGATGTTAAACTGCTTATCTGGAAAAAATTGTCTGCATTGAAAGCTCTGAATACCATGGACTTTAACATGGAGAACTACTGAAAAAATAATAATAGAACTTATTAAAAGTAAGCAAATACTTCAAAGCAAATAGTTCTGATGCTTTCTGCCAAAAATATGAAATTAAAAATGCCATTGCACATGGAAATTAATTTTTTTTCCTTAAAAGATGAAAATTTGTGAAAGTGAAAATTTAACATATAGCAATGTTTAAATTAGGCAGAATATTGCAAAGAATTCTACTGAAGCTTACAGATCATTTTTGTTGAACAAATAAGACAACCAAGCTTGATTTCTTTGTTTAGATCTGAGAACTAAAATAAATTATTTTATGGACTTTTTATGGAAGTTAAATGAAGACTAGGAAAGGTTAACAAAAAATAGCAATAGACATCTAGAGCCAGGATGTCTTAGTTAAACTTAAAATGCAACCTTTTATGGTGCGTTCCATTTTCCCCAGAACTCTATTTAAGAAGTTGAAGTGACATATTTTCCCAGTTAAATGGGCTTCAGTTTTCAGCTTGTAGAATGCTGTTTTCTCAGTGGTAACTATGGTCATTGTTACAACCATAAAAAAGAATGCTCTACATGATATTTTGCACATTGCATAGCACTAAAAAAACTCCTATAAACACAGGTGACCCCTGAATACATAATAAACAACTGCTACAAATGGTCAAAGTAGGAAACTTTAACAACTGTTGACTTAAGTTGCACCAAGCTTGAATGCAAAGGTTTAATACCATAATTTTGCATTCACTCTATGAGTTTCAGGAGCATTCCAGTTCAAATTTATGACTTGGAAGTTGGAAAATTTAACTACTGGGACAAATGGAACACCCATGCCTGTGCTCGTCCTTGTTTTAGTCCAGCTAGGTAGGAGAAATGTTTCTAGCATCCATATATAGTGGATATCAATAAATGCCCAGTTTTTGTTACTGTGAAGTTAGAAAATTAGGCTGTTTAACCAGCAGTTCAGGAATAAATACTCGTTGACATTTTTTTTTTATTAGAAAGAAGATTTATGTATTTTGCTTCATGATAATATCAACTCTCCATAGTCAGAAAGATTTTAAGAGTCCATGTAAATTCAAAATAACTGCAAAGTTTGTGAGTTGATTTATTTTAAATCGACCTATCAACCAGTCTTATTTGAGAGCAGTTCACCAGTTCACCAGAGGCTTTAGGTTCAAAAGTCACACATTGCTCTAATTTTGGCCGATTATTTTTCCTATTGTTAAATCACAAGAACAATTACATCAATACCATTTCCAAAAAACAGTTAAAGGCCAATACAAAACTAGCATGGATTCTTAAAATTATACCAGGGGTTGGCATACTTTGGCTCCAGAGCAGCATGTGGCTCTTTAATGCCCCCCAAAAACGTATGAAAATGTATAACTTTGAAATTTTTAGTTTGTTTGTTTTGATAGGTTAATGCTGTACAAATTTGCATAATAAATAAATTCAAACAAAAATTTGTATTTCTGCCAACGAAGATTTGCTTCATAATGTAGTCTGCAATACATGTTTTAGCGCGGCACGGTGCAGGGAAGGTGACTGTTTTAAACACAACAGCAAGTGTATTTTGGGCCATGGATCCCAAAGAGAATAAAGGAAGCTGGCTGATGAGAACAGAGGATTCAAAAAAACTAAGAATCCTTTGTAATGAGAAGTTGTCAAATAATAAAAAAAGAATCATTTGGAAAGGTTTTTCCAGGGAAGGCATAGTAAATTTGCAGCCGATCAGCAAGTTGAGAATGAGAAAAAACATTTGATTGCGGTCTTTTTGGATAAATTTCAGGAGCCCAAAGATAGATTTACTGCTGTTAGTTTTGTTGCAAGCAAAGAAAACCATTCACAGATCTAACAGGTGGCGCTCTTATGCAGGTATGTGAACTTTCTTCAATGTTTTTCCCCAAATCCTCGAAAGAAAAATAACACAAAAAATCTGATTCCTTTATTGTGAGTCTATAACTTTATCAATGCAACACAATCTAATGCATTAGTATTGTAATAGAATTTAAACTTAAAGCACCAATTGTCGTACAGAATAGTAGTCACATGATGTCACATTTGCTCCAGGTTGTAGTCCGTAGTCTATTTTTATAGTGGGCTAGTACAGTTAGAGCTTGCGTTGCCAGGTTTTTAGAAAACTTACATTTTTGTTGCTCCAGACAGATTTGTTTTTTGTTTTTTTTTAGGTCCAATATAACTCTTTGAACAGTTTGGGTCAACGACCCCTGCGTTATACAAACTCTTTGAGAGTAACCTCTGCCTGTAGCAGTGGGGTAACTCTCTTACCAAATCATAGCTTTTCAAGTGGAATGATCAAATATGTTTTAACTGGGAAATAACAGTAGGTGCACATCAAGGTTGGGGGCTGGGTCACTGCATATTAGCCAAATGTCTTAGTGATGGATAGCAGAACAAGACAATTTACTTAACAGTGGAGACTACAAGCCACAGGTTGGAGGGGGTGATGGAAAGGTACGTACACAGCTGATGTTTAAATAAGCATCTCAGAGCATGAGGCAATTTTAGATGCAGGTGCAACTCCTTCAATTGATTATAATAACTATAAAAAGCGATGTGTCCCTGTTTTTATAGTTAGAGGAGTTCCGGCTCTAAATTGGGTTGAATAAAAATAAACAAAGAAAGGAGGTCTTTTTTTCTTAGTTGTAAGCTGATACCATCATAAAAGGGGAGCTGAGGCACCTGAACGAAAAAACAGAAGATGTGTTGCATCAAGTTTCACAATCTTGCAAGAGTGTATTCAATTGATCTGGTTTAAATCCAGGAATGAGGAAGAGAAAAAGCAAGCTTACTTTGAATTCCAGCTTCAAATGGTGTAATAATGGCACTGAAAGATAGAGTGACATTGCTTTGACTGAGAGTGTGTGCATTTAGTACGATTGTTGCATTGGGAGTGAAACGGATGGCCCGAGGCATCTGTCGGCAAATCACTGATGTTGAGTCTTTGTCTGGCCCAAAGGTTAAAACCCTTTTAGGATTGATGTTCAACATTGATGGTAATGGGTAGTTTGAACAGGACAAACATTATTTTAAATTAAATCAGAAGTAGATAAAGACACTAGATATAGAGAAATAACTTCAGTAAAGTTCGGAAAACCCCTAATGGAGGGTATTTAACAAGTTTTGTAAAAGTAGTCCTGAGTTTTTCCAGTTTGTCATGTGAAAACAGAAATTTTTTTATATTTTATAGGGTTTTTAGAAGGAGCAGCGTTGTAGACATACAGGTAAAAATGATGTTGTTTGGAAATACTTTTTGTAGCATCTTCAATGTCAAATAATATAGCTTATTAGGGCTAGACAATATAGAAAAAATTAAATGCATATTGATCAATATCGATAATTATCTAAAAGATTGTAGACAATTTCCTCTGAGGTTCCATTCTCTGTCTATTTAGTGAATTGAGAGGCTGAGGTAGGGCTCGGATGTGCGACTTAAAGAAAAACTATGGCCCCGAACTTCATGTCATGAATTACGAGTGTCAAGCAGCTGTTTGAAGCCAGGTTTTTAAACTGCAGACAATGTCAGCATATCCATCGCTATAAAGCATGTTACTGCATGAGTTATGTTCTTATGTGGCTTGGACACTTTGTTGTTTTTATCATAAAGAAGGAAGCCCGGTTTAGCTTGCTTTGCATGCTTTGTTTTGGCAGAAGTTCCTATAGGTTCCTCTGATCTTCAGGAACGGCACAGGGGCTTAGATGATAAAACAAGTGCATGTGTTACCAGAGTTTATTCTTACCGGTTCAACTTCAATTTTTACAAATCACTGTGGTTTGGTTACTTTCTGACTTGCTATAACCGAAATATTGCCAAATTGGCGAGCTACTAAAACCATTCTTTGGGACAATTTCCTCCGCCTCTCCTGCTGTGACATCTTTACGTGCTCGGTGATGTGATTTTAGAGGGTGGTGCTTTGTAATGGCATGCCAGGCTCAGAGATTGCGATTGGTTGGTAGGAAGTGGCGACTGTAGCATCAACCTACAGTAAATGATAGGCTACAATGAAAAGGAAGAAAAACTGTCCAGACCTATTGCAAATGCTGCTTTATATTCTCTGTGTTACAGTAAGTGGACTGGTAGGTAATAGTGTGTCTTTTTATTCCATAACCAATACAAAATAGTGCCTTGCTGAGTAGAGTTAGAATTACACACATTTTTAAACTTGTCACAAATAAAACTGTGGCCTTCTGGGTTCTTTTATATTCACCCTTCTGAGTAAGAGGCAATGTCTCTACCGAATGCTCTCATCTTGAGGTTGAAATTTTGCCCATTGTTCTTTTCAAACAGCTCAAGCTTATACAGGTCCTTCTCAAAAATATTAGCATATTGTGATAAAGTTATAAAACATTATTTTCCTTAATGTAATGAGAAAACTTGAACATTCATATATTTTAGATTCTTTGCACATTAACTGAAATATTTTAGGTATTTTATTGTCTTAATAATAGCGATTTTGGCATACAGCTCATGAAACCCCAAAATTCCTATCACTTTCCCTTAGGTTTGAACTTTGACTGAGCCCTTTTAATCTATGAGTTATGTTTTGTTCTTAACAATCTTGTGGAAGCTGTGGTTTTCTGTTTGGTGCTGTGAAACGGTGCATTCTAATCAAGTCTAATCATCTTTCCTGCCCATGCAGTGGAAATAAACCTCTACAGTACAATGCTTTCATCACTGTCTCTATTGTAGCGATGATGGATTTAGTGGAATGTGCAGCTAGTTGTCTCTGACACAAAGATTTACTGATTTTAGAAGAAGATTAATAGTCAGAGTAAAAGGAGGCATTTTGAATTTGATATCTTTTATTCAGATCCATGTTACATTTTCATTCTACTTCACAATTATAGATTTCCAGTGGGTGTAATGTAACGAATAAAAAAACATTTGTATTCTGTTAGGGCTGGTTGGATTTTTTTCATTCCTACCAAAGCTTTGCACCTGTAGATTAAAAGAGGAGAGTGAAAGTCAGAAATCCATGCTTTTGTGAGGCCCAGTACAATTTTCAAGCTCAAAATGTAAATACAATACGTACACTATTGTGCTTATAATTACTTTTGAAGATATCATGGTCAATATATTGCTGAGGCAAATATTCTGGCAAGTTCACACATGATGTAGTTCATCAGCCAGTATGAGTTCTGCCAAAGTGTTTATGATTTTATTGGACCACAAGCAGATTCTCAGTATCAACAGATGTCCCCTTGAACTCAGTAGCTTCTGTTATCTCTTAAAGTTCCCTTTTCCGCCATGCACAAGACCATCTGCTGTCTGTTTTTTATGTGCTTACATTTGTACCAATTAGATTTGCAACACGTTGGTAGTTTTGCAGTAACTTATATCTAGAACACCATTGGCAAATCTCTCAGTCTCCTGAAGAAAATCATCATATCATCAAAAAACAGTGTTTGATGCATTAGTTAGTGTAGTATTTGAGAGAATTTAAAGAAAAAAAGAAGAACCAGATTTTGTTTTTCTGTATCCTTGTTCTGAAAAATTCTAACATGCATCACATTTGGTCACAAAGCTGCAAAAACGCAGGCAAAGAGTGTGTTGATCTTGTTCTCTTACACTTTGGTAAAGGTTTTTTCTTTTTTCATTTTAACAAAAAATGCTTGGTGAGCCATCAAGAAGAGTTCGCTGGTACACCTCTACTATGGCAACCATTGATGTAATAACATTGGATAAACATTAATCCTTTTATTTTCAATACCTGCTCAATGCTGTTCAGGGTTGTGGCTTTGGATGACCAACATGGGGCCATAGGCAGGAGACAGCTAAGACCCAGGACAGGTTATCAGATTTCACATGGAAAATAAATAGAGTTGCAAGGGACAAATAATCATGCAAGAACAAGAATTGTCATGACGGCATTTTAAATTACCTATGCACCTGCAGTAACATGAACGTCTCAACTGTAGGATAAAGCTGAAATACAAGGAGAGCCTTTAAAAAAATCTAGACCACAATGCAAAACTTTAGAAAAGAGTCTGAATGGATAGACATCAGGGCCAAAGATCATGAATCGATTGTTGAAATGTAAAACTAGAAACGCACTGGAAAGTCGTCTTTGCAGGTATCTTTGCTTTAAACCAAAAAAATTAAATAACATTTTTAAAAAAAAGAAGAAAAGAAATGGATGATTTTATGTCCAATCAGTACTGGTAATGTAACTGAATAAATAAATGAAAAAGAAGTATAATGAGGTTTTAATGGAAACTCTACTTTAAAAAACATCTGTAAGGTAAATTTTTACTAGAGAGCTAGACTTTCAACAACTAACAAAAAAGTGGAAGAAATTATGGTAAGTTTGCTGTTTTAACTACTTGAGCTTGGAAAGCAGTTATAAATATGCTGCTGCTCACCGTTGTTCCTTACCTACTACACTTTAATGTAAAAGTCAATCCACCTGTATATAAGCCATCCTGATTGTACATGTCACCTCAAATCTCTGTGTTACTTCCTTGTATTTTCTATCTTTTATTCTTTTTTTATTGTGTGTGTGATACAGTACATGTACACTTCCACCTTAATTTTTATTCTTATCTTGATATACTGTATATACAGTGCTTGCTTGTTTATTCTTAAAGCACCTTTTCCTCCTTGTTTGCACCTTCTTTAATTACTATGCCAATATGTGACCAGTGAATTTCTCCGCTGTGAGATCAATAAAGCTCATCTAATCTAATCTAATCTTGCTACATGGGAGCCTTTTGGAAATCTCAGAGTTGAAATAAGAATCCAACGGTATACAGAGAACAGTCTCAAAGAGTGCTGTTTCGAGAATGCTACTGCATCCTAAACATCAATCTAAGGTGCTTAAGACACATATAAAACATCACTCCATAATCAACTTCACTTTGTTTGAAATAAACAAATAAAAACATTGTTCAGAACAAATGCAGGAAGTCTAGAAAAAATAAATTTAAATGTATTTCTTGAATTGTACCACAATATAGTTTTTAATACTTTGAAACTGGCTAAAATAATTAAAAAGGCTCGTAATTTTTGAGAAAGACAGAGCAGAAACTTGGACAAAATGTTGTTCAGTGCTTCTCCACCTGAGTCAAATATCACAGTAAGACACGGCAGCAAAGAGGGAGAGATGGAATGAAGAATCTGAGCTTCATAGACACTGATGTTGGAGTTACTTTGTAATGTCACACAAAGGGGGAATCTGAGTTGAAAATTAAGGTTCTTCATTTAATGGTCAGTTTAAGTTTCAACGCCTATGATCACAAAATAGACAATAGAAAACATATCCATAAAAGTCATTCTCCTTAAAATTTCAAGTAAGTTGGTCATTGTGGTTGGTCATTGTGATTATTTAGCATTAGAAACTATGTATGACTGTGTTAGTCCATTTGATGTAGTCAAAAAGTTTTTTTAGCTACATTTTAGACAGTGGCAAACATATTTAGGATATTTTACAATTAATACAAGCAGCATAAATGAGTTCAATGCAAAAAATGGAAATCTAAGTAAGTAATTTTTTCTTAAAATAAGTGATTTTTTTCTCGAATTGAGGACAAAAGTGAGACACTTTGCCAATGGAACAAGACAATTTACATTTAAAATAAGAAAAAACTATTGCAATGTCTTATTTCAAGTTCATATTATTTAATTATCTTATTTTAAGAGTAAAGATACTAATTTCATTGGCAAATCATCTAATTTACCAACTTAAATTAAGGGTAAATACACTTAATTTAAGAAATGTTTAGTTATTTCTAGATCGTTTTCGAATGCTCCTCTTAAAGGTAGCTCAAATAGGTTTTGAAGGGAGTGCATAAATTCTAATGACGCCTTTATCGCAGCTTTGACAATCTAATGTACTTCATCACAAAACAGGACAGACAGAACTGTACCTCTGCCATAGACATTTGTAGGAAACATTAACATTTTCAGTGGAAGAGATTCAAAACTGATCGCTGCATGATTCGAATTAGAGTTCAGTTACCAAGAGGATGCTGTAGACAGGAAACATAATAAAATAAAAGTTACATTACGTGAAATATATCTTACTGCACAGATGTGTGATAGCATTTAAAGTTAAATCATTATAGGTGTAGTGGAGGATTTTTTTCTGGGTGAATCATCAAATAGGGGCTGTCAATCACAATTGTCAGTCATTCTGGTGATATGTTTACGTAAGGCTGTCCTACGTGCTCTTCCCCAGATAAGTATCTTATTCAGCGCATGTGCACTTTCAGGCGTATATTTGTGGTGAGCTCAGTCAAAATGTTTCTACGAAGTGTATGAGAAGAAGAGAAAGGCCTCAGAAGAGAGAAACAAGACCAGAGTGTTTTTGCGAGATTCTTTCATGCAATGGCGTACACTGAAATTAGAGGTGGGGGTTCCCACTGATGCCTCGGTTACGGAGTTTCTACTCTATAGGTAAAATTTGACACGATATTTGGAAAAATGCATTTCACATCACTGCTACTGTAGTAAAAATGATCTACCTCTATATTGTAACTTTCCAGGGAAGATACTTTTTTTATTTAGTAATTTGCATTGTTAGTAGTTAGACAGGGGCAACAGATCCTTATTTACCCCGCAAACATGTCCACATTTTCACAGCACACACACACATACAAGCAGGTCACAATTTTTATTTTTTTTTTATGTGCCAGTAGTCTTATTTGTGTGGAAATGTTTTATATATATAAATATGTGTTGTCCATGCTCTTGCGTGCTTTCAAAAGGCGTTTCCTCTCGGGAGCAGGTACAGGATTGTGCATGTGCATTTTTTTTTCAGTGAAGAGGGTGAGTCTTTTTAAAAATTCACGAAAATCCTCCACTTTACATTTAAAGCTGTCAGTTGATTTAGGTAAAGCATTTGATCAGGAATTCTGAATAACTCCCATTGAAGGTTTTCCAATCAGCTCACACACAAAGAAGACAACAGGGTTTACCCACAACTTGTTGGTGGAACTAGATGTTGTTCCTAGTGTCAAGTCACCGGAGACCTTCTCACAACAAGTTGAATCATGTTTTGCTGGAGAGGTATCCAGGAACTTAGATTAATGGAGGAGAGACAGATACTATAGATGAAAGAATGGATGCTGCAGAACTAACAATTTAGAAACCAAATCTTTATGTTTTACAAAATATGTGAATAAAATGTGTTATTATAGAGGAGAGAATTCACACTGACATTTTCTTTATTTGGTTAATTTTATCTAAAACTTGACTTATAATATTACATCACATACATTCATAAAATAATAGAGAGCTCTGTACGTATCAAGGTCTTTTAATAACAGTCATCCAACAGTGGTGCATATCCAGCTCGCAAACCACACTAATGTGCTCTAGCCAAAGAATGGCAACCAGCAGGAAAGGTCATAAGTAATGGGACAATCCATCACAAGCTGTTGCATGATGCTGTGTGGTCTTATTCAAAGAGACCCACCCATGGAGACAAGGAGCCAACAAGTGGGAAGGAAACAAGTAGAAGGAAGTAATTTAAAAACCAGAGGAGGGAAAACAGAGCTGGTGCCCGACAGCGGTTACAGATTAGTGATTGGAACCCCCCTCCACAAAAAAAAAAGACTTTTTCTCTTTCCATAATATCATTTCAGATGTATGTTGTTGTTTTTTTAGAGGAACTGAAATGGAGGCATGTTTGAACAAATATTCAAAAACTAAAACAAAGAAAAGACAGTGAGAAAGCCAAACACGAAAAGAAACATAAGAGGGAAACGAAATTAATAGGATGGAAACAACATGTACCACTAGGATTGGATTGAACAGAGCACAAATACAATGTGTGTGTGTGTGTGTGTATATATATATATATATATATATATATATATATATATATATATATATATATATATATATATATATATATATATATATAAGTTACAACAAAGAGAAGCAATGTTAAAATAAAACAAGAAAGTCAGAACACAGACCTCCTACTTCATTCACAAATATTACTTTTCTAAAAGCTCTAGAACATTAAAATTACAATCTAGCATGCATAAATGTTGGAGCATCCATCCATCCATCCATCCATCCATCCATCCATCCATCCATCCATCCATCCATCCATCCATCCATCCATCCATCCATCCATCCATCCATCCATCAGGGTTGCAGCATTAGGGTTGCGGCAGGGCTGGTGTCTATCTCTGGCAATAACTTTGAAATGCTAAAACTTCCAAGTTGTCCCCAACCCCATTTTTAACTCTGATAAAGAATCTTTTTGTGTGTCATGATTCTGCACTTTTTGGTTTTGTTTAGCTTCTCTTTTAGTTTTACTTTGATTCATGTTTGTCTGTTTTCTAGTTTTATTGGTTTCATTCACATTTTGTGGTCTTTTCTGGTTGTATTTGAGTTCTTATGTATGTATTTGTGGGGAGTGTGCTTGTGCTCTGAGAAGGTTGTAAGTACCCTGTTGGATCCCCACAGCCTCCACCCTCGGTGGACCCTTAGGCTGAACAAAAACCTTAACCCCAGACTGCTCCCCGGGTGCCACACAATGGCAGCTCACTACTCCCGGAGGGGATGGGTTAAATACAAATAGTTAATCATTTATCTTTTGTGAGATCAATAAAGTTCAATTTCTGTTTCTATTTCTTGTTTGCCCTCTGTTGCCCTTTTCTGTCAGTCTGCTTCTCCTAGCTCCCTTCTAGATTCTTTTCTCCACCCCTGCTCCCAATCTGCTTTTTAGCCTAGTCTATGTTCAGTCTCCCATTTATACACCTCTTCTTTAGTTACTGTTTGCTCGTTCCTCATTATCTTTGACTTCTAATCTTCCATCCCTGGATTTGGGTCCTTCAAACCTCCACCCAACCTGACAATATGGCTGTTGCTAGAATAAAACTTGGTGACAGTTACAGAAATGTTCTTAAATTGTTTTCCCCAATTGCTGGCCACAACACAACATTGCTCTCATATTTCATAGTATTGGCTAATATTAGA